AAGGAAGGGTGGACGGGAAGCAGAGCTAGCGGGGGCAGGGAGAGGTGCAACGGCGATGGCCGAGGGAGATCAGGAAGAGGAACGGGCCGGCAGAAAGTAGAGCTGGGGAGGGTGCAGGGGGGCTGGCCGGGGAAGATCAGGAGGGGAAGTATCCGATATTTTCTGATTTTTTTTTTTTACCGGACAGAGCACGCCAATACCGGACTGTCCGGTACAATACAGGACACCTGGCAACTCTATGTTGTGCCCATGAGATATACTCCACTATGAAGTGACTATGGAGTACATACCTCAACCAATCAGACCATTTTAAAAGAGTAATTTTATGCAGTTGATGGCTAGGTTTTCTTAATAATTGTACCTTCAAAGTAGTGCACAGAGTTGCTGCAACTTACCACTCTCTTTTCCCGAAAATCAATGCCCACTGTTGTGATAAATCTGGAATTAAATTTGCCATCTGTGTACTGGTAAAGAAGACTGGTCTTTCCTACTCCAGAGTCCCCGAGTGCTAGGAATTTGATGAGGTAATCGTAGTCTCCCTCAGACATATTGAGATCTTTGTAGCCCACCTGTAAAAAACAAAACAAAAAAAACCCCTAATTTCATTACAGAAAGAAAATGAAAGTATTTAGAATATATACATTTGTTAATTTTAAATTGCAAATAAGCTTTAGTGGAGACTGACTTCTTTAAAATAAAGATAAGAACAGCAGGCCTGAGTTTGCACTCCTTTACACTGGCTTTATGCTGGTGTAACCTCACAGAAGATCACTGATGGAGCAGAGGATCAGGGTCAACATTTGAAGGGTCAATGCCAAATTCAGCTCTGGCATTGATGGAAACAAGTCTATTGACCTCAGTGCCTATCTACAACAGAACTGAGACTGTCCAGTAATCTCAGAAGCAGCAAAGGGCCAAACTCTCACCCCAGTTTTACACTAGGTGTAACTCCATGACTCTGAGGGTATGTCTACATTGTAGGGGGGAGGGGTTCGGAAAAACAGTCATTTTTCTGAAAAAACTTCACTTACTGCAATCGTGTTCTTTTGAAAAAAAAAAATCAAGGTCTGACATTGGTAAACCTCTTTCTAAGAGGAAGAAGCCTTTTTCCGAAAGAGCTCTTTTGGAAAAATGTATGTATGGACAGGGAAGAGGGAGTTTTTTCAAAGGAAGAGGAAAGAGGAAAAAGTACAGGTGCCCTGGTGGCCACTCCATCCGTAGTAATCGCAGCTTAAATGCGAGATAGCATCCATTCAGTATGGACGCTGTCTTTCGAAAAAGCAGATAGCTTTTGATGCGCTTTTGCATGTAGATGCTCTCTTTCAGAAGTAGTTTTTTTCAGAAGAGCTCTTCCAGAAAAGCTTCTTCCGAAGGAAGCCTGCAGTCTAGACATAGCCTGACTGAATTATTCTTGATATACATGGGGGGGGAGAGGGGGGAGTAACTTATATTTCTTACAGGTACTGTTCTATTATTGCCTCTCCCCCTTTGGGGGAGGTATGGGAAGGGGTTGGTATTGGCCATACAACAGTACCTCTAAGAAATTTAAGCGTGAGGTGTAACATCTACAGCAATGTGAGTGAGAGAAAAATCAGACTCAAATTTGTTAGATAAGGAGAGAAATTGGCTGTCCTGGATATAACTACCTGCTAGTCAGTCAAGGGAAGGGGAAGGGGAAGATGAATGAAGGATGGTCCTCACTGATAGAGTTGCTACAGATCATCATTTATTAGAAACAAAGAAGGAAAGAAGAATTTTGACTTTTTACAAAAAAGCAACATAGAAGTATAGAATTAAAGTAATCTGGAAAGCCAAGTACAGAGCACTAGTTACAGAACTATTTTGTGCCTGAAGGGTTGTATAGTATTCACCAGAGCATACTAGATTTGGAATAAATGAAGAATCTATTGTATTCTCCCAACAGCGCTCACCACAAGCAGACATTCAATAAAAGACATTGTACTGTCATGAACAATCTATATTGCACTTTTTGTGTGTGAATGCAACCATACCAAGCTCTTTTATAAACAGCTTATCAATAAATGCTTCATGTCTTGTGCAAAACGAATATGACAGGAGTTTCAGGAAATGCTCCAAAGTCTGAATGATCTATGAAAACTGACCTAAGTGTTCCTTAAAAGGTTGATTTTTACCCCATTAGTCATTGAAGGTAAATTATCCAAACAGTCTCTCCAACACATTCCATCTATATTCTTAATACAGAAGTCCACTATTAATACGAGACCTCACTACTCTTCTTATAAGGCATGGTGGGAACACTGTTACCCAAGGTAGCAATGCTGGTAATAAATAGTTGAATTCAACCTACTTAACTTGCCTTCTATATACAGACACATGGCATCTGCACAAGGCCTTCAAAACTAATTTAGGGATTACATTGAATGTGTATGGTCAAATTTTCAAGGGCCACCTCAAAGTGAACCTCAAATTCTCTACACCTACCTTCTTGTACAAAACCATTGGGCTGTCATGGTGTAACTGGTAAATCTAGGTTTACGTGTGCACAAATGGTTGGATGAAAAAAACCCCGTTGATGACATTATAGAAACTAGTTTGAGATTCCTGGAAAAACATGGTGTTCTTTGAAAAGCACATATGGCCATTACAACACAGAAAATAGCCAACTAAACAAAAACATAACACAAGAATTGGCTATCAGTAAAACTTTTATTTCCCAAGATTTCACTTCAGGCAAAATTTTCAAGAATTATCATCTTCACACTTAAAACATGAAAATGAATGAGACTGACTGTTTCTTATGCAAAGCTATTTTTTGCTCCAAAACAGCCTGCTTTTTATTTGATATATCTGAGCAATAGTTTTTATGCAAAAAGACCATTTTTTAGTTTGTTATGAAATAGAAGACAATTTTCAGGTATTTTTGTAATTTATTAATGATCATTTGAACACTTATCAACCACTAAACCTAGGTGTTTGAATACACTACTGCTTTATCAGTCATGAGAATTTAAAATGTCTAATTATCACCTTTGGGGATTTTAAAAGAAAAAGTGTAAGATTTAAAATCTAGAGTGAAGATTAGGTGTTTCAAAATGCCTAGACTATACAAAGCAATTCATAGAGCAACCACACAAATTCTAGGGGAAATTCAGTGTGTATGAAAAAGACATATGGGGATTGTGCTCTAATATTTTCCTGTTTGAGTAGCTACTGATCTCACCTCCCCCAAAGCCAGCATCTTGCTGCATTATGCATCTTTTAAAAGAAAACATCTAAAAAGAAATCTGAGTAACTCTTCCAAAAGCAACAGAAATCTAGCCCAAAAATTACAAATTACCAGGGGAGAAAAGGTATCAAAATATGAAAAATATATACCAGGAAATGGAATACGTTTTTTCTTGAAAAATGTGCAATTTGGACAGCAAATAATAGGATAACTATAATGCTAAATAATGCTGAAACTACACTAAGCTATATACAGCTAATCACTTCATTAAGTCCATAGCGTTTCAACTACATTCTTAACAGTACAACTGCCTCAATAGCATAGCAGCAACTCAGTTCTTAGTCTATGCCAAGGTTTGGAACAAACTCCAAAGCTGCAGTGTGTGGGCTTCAATCAACAGCAAAGTAGAAATGAAACCCTCTCTGAAGCTTTAGCTTTACTGCAAAATTTAATTTTGTATATAAAACATGACAGTGATGTTGAATTTAGTTACCCAACCTGGTGCAACCTCCGTAACTCTGTGGTTAGTACAGACAAGAGGGAAGATTTTTCAAAGGCACAAATGGCAAGCACGTGCTTCATGGCCACTGACCTTTAACTGAAGTTTGGTGCCCAGCTGTCATTTGTGCCACTGACAATCTCCCCCAAGCACTACTCCTGTTCTGCATCATCATTTCAGCTACACATGATGGAATCATGAGGTCAGAGTTTATGAAGTACTGATATAAATTCTCCACATTTACAGTCAGCATGAAGTTATGGCCAGCTAAATCAAATTTCCCCACTTAGAATTTAAAACATGATAAAATTCTGTTAAGACATTAAGGCCTCAGAGAGGAGATGAGACATTCAGAAGTAGCAGCATTATTTCTGTGCTGGGTGTGCAGGCTTGACACTCCAGAAATACATTCACCTACCCTTCATACTGTAACACAAAGGAGTGTAGAGTCTTACAAGTAGCTAGTGCAGAAGAGAAAACATTGCCGTAAGAGGCTATACCTAGATATTGGAAGTCCTCTTTCATCCAGATTCTAATAAAGACGAGTAAAATACTTTTGAGGATGGGAGGGCAAGTGTCAAACTGTGATTAATTCACCAGAATTGTCTTTATTGAGAGGTATTAGGTGAAAGGGAAATGTATTTTTTTTAAACTCTAACATGTTTTAAAATCTTCAGACTGATTTATGACTCCTTCCTAATGTTTAGTTTGTGATTAAATTAATGTCTCCATATCTTCTGCCAAGCGCTCTCTCGATCCTATGTAAACTTTTCCCTCTTACGCACAACAGAATATATATATTTTTAAAAATCTCTAAAGTCACTAGTAGTTTTTAAAAACCTAGATACTCAATAAGTGCAATTTGGAACTAATGCATTATGAAGACAGATCATCCCCATCTGTGAGCTTATCCAAATGGTGCTTTAGTCCACACTAGAGAGGTGTATATTTTATCACACACCAGAGTGTTGTGCATCAATTGGCTCATATGGACCCTTCTGGCATGCACTAAAGTAAGACACTAGTAATAACGCTACCTTTTATTGCTAACAGACTGCTGTGTTCTGAGAAAAGTGTGTGTGTATAAGGACCTAGAAAACAGATGTAACAGAAGTGCAAAGGATTATTTTCTGCAGCAGCGCGTTTGGAAATGTAGGAAACTATTATATGTCATGTCTTGCTAAAACTTACTGTAAATAGTCACCACCCTCCAGGGAACAAAGGTCAGAGCTACCACAAGATTAAAAATATTCATCTTCCAATACAGGAACTTTCAGAATACCTGTTTGGAAAAGCTGCCATGCAACACAGACTGCTTTTTACCCCTGCTTTAATTAACCGTACAGCTTGTAATTAACAGTTTACAAATGGCTGAAAATAGGGTCAGGAGCCCTTAACAGGAAATAAATGAAAAATACATTCCAATCAATCTTTGACAAGGAAAAGTTCTTCTTCGATCAAGTTGAAATGCATATCACTCCCAGCCTTCACCCTACAAGATAAACCCAGTATTCAAATATTTTCAGGGTGTGTTTACTGTGAAAGCCTGAACCTAACCCTGAAGAGAAGCAAGATATTTCAGTCTGTCCCAGCCCTGTCCTCCTCCCTCTACAAATATTTAAAAAGTGTTCTTCACCTTCCGCCTTACAAGACTTACACTCAAGTTTCTACTATGTAAATTGGCACAGTGAACAAGACCCTTCAAAGAGTTAAAAAGCAAATATAATTTTAAACACTTTTATTGAGGTTTTTTTATATACAATTAGCAATGTCTTTTTGATTTATTAAAAATATATATGTATAAAAACCTCTAACCATTATTGGAAAAAAAGTAGAGATGGGACCAATGAAAATGATAGTTT